GGCCTACAGCCCCTGCGACGGTTCAGACWAAAAATGGTAATAGCATTTTTAGCCTGAACCCAAGGGCCATTTTCGGTCGTTCATCAGAACGACCGGCCCTGAAACTCAGGCACCGAACCAGGGTTTTGGGAACAGCCTATATTTRGACTGTTCCCACGCCTGCCTCAAGCAGGCTGCTGCACGCCAGCCCCTGGCACACTTCGGCATTGGCAAGAGCTGCCTCCTCGGCCTGCTCGCCCTCCTGCAGTCAGGAGGCAGGCCGACGAAGTACTTAGGGACTTCCCAGGCACTTCACAGGTAGGCAGTCAGTCAGTTGTAGTCTTCAGGATTCGGAAGCAGCACTCTGGAGGGAGCGCTGCAGTGTAGAGTAGTAGCGTTAGCTTGTAGTCTTCAGCGCTGGGTGCAGTAGGTAGTTGTAGTCTCCAGCGCTGGGCGCCATAGCTAGGTAGTACTAGAGAGAGAGAGAGAGAGCTTGGGTGGAGGCCAGAGGTACCTACCTGCAGCGCCGTTGCTCCAGCTTCGTCTTCGAGGTACCTGCAGCACAGCGCCAACATCACAGGTTAGTATCTGGTTCGTAACAGAGAGAGAGAGAGAGAGAGTTTTTCTTCTTCTTCTTCTCAGTCCACCATCTCTTCTATCCCTCTCACTTCTGACTTCACTGCATCTGCAGACTATGAGAGAAGAGATACAGAGCTTGGTGACATATGATCCAGACTCGACTTTCGGGGATTCAGACATGGCAACGAGGGACTATTTGGGATTGGTGACCAAGACTTGGTGTTAACGACATTCCCATCTTCCTCCCTCCTTTTCGTCTGATCCTTATCTCTTCGTCTGTGTATGTCTGGACCTGGCGCTTTCTTCCTGTGTACAGCGCCAGGCTGCTTCACACTTGGTGATGGACACAATGCATGTGTAGTCTGAGTTCAAACATTGATTGGGCTAGTTAGTAGTGTTCTAGCATTCTGCTTCGCTACTCTGAACTACGTGAATGAGGTCAGTCCTGTCAGGTCAGTCTTTGTATCAAAGTCTTCCCTGCGCTCTTCAGCATCTTTATGTATGAATGAGAATGTACATTGTTTGTCGAGATTCTACTCGTACCACATTGTCTATTCAGTCCTTTTCATCACATTGCAGATTCTCGGTTTATTACGTACATTGCATATCTGTGCATGTAACACTCTGTCGCTGTCTCTGTCTCTGTGTCTGTCTCTCTGTCTCTGTCTCTGTCTCTGTCTCCGTCTCCGTCTCTGTCTCTGTCTCTGTCTCTCTCTCTTTAGCATAACGGTCATAACCCACAACGCCCTTTTCACTCACAGCCACCTTTGAACCGCCCCTTCCCGCCCCCACTTTTTTCTTTCTTTCTGGATTTGATTACAAAAGAAATCGCAAAAGGTTTTCAAAACATATGTGACGATATAGAAATTGATTTGCACAAAAATTAACACGATACGCCAAAAATGCATCAATAGCACTAAACAAAATGGGTATTAGTTTCATCATTCTTTGAGTGGCAAATTCTGACGAAAACATAATGTCGTTTTTTGGTAGTATGAAAATAGGATTAACCCAGAAATGAGTACCTAAACCAATCATCATATCTTTGGCCAAATATCCTACAAAAAGACTTCCAAAAGCCAAAAGTATTAAAGGGATTGCCATCAGAGTATGAGTCTGRCCCGCGTGTGTTATTTCTTATTTACGAGTTCACCGAGAATGAGTTGAGTCAATTCTCATATATGAATCATCCTTCGGCCTTAAATGTCAAATAAGAGAGGCCTCTGCTTCCCGTTGCACCTTTGGCTCTCTGGCGATAGATCAGACGCTTCGCGTCTGCTCGAGTACAAATGCGGGTGCTGCCTCCAGGAAGCAGTTTTGGAGTTCGAGCGTTTGTTACTTACCTTCCTTGACCCCTCCCCCCGATCTCCAGCCTACCCCCCCGCCCCCAGCCAAAAAACAAAAACTACGTGGCTCAGGCAACCTGGCCACCCGGCTGCGTACGTGCGGTCATGGGTCTGGTGACCAGATGACCGGACCCCGTTCATACCCCCCCCCCGTTTGAGAACGGGGTCTACGGACTGCTTCTTTCTGCTTTGCTGCCTGCTTGGTGTTCAAATAAGACTTCCTGATTGACGGACGCGGAGCTGGGCTGGTCTTTACATGAGGAGAGAACGGAATTCAGTGTCAACGAACTCTCCGGTTCCTGTCTGTTTTTTTTTATTTTTTTTATTTTTTATTGGGGTGATCACAACTGTCTGTATTCTTCTCTCAACTTCTGTTTGTTTACCTTCCACTACCTACTCCTAAGACTATCTAGAGGGGACCCCTGCAAGCATAGTTTTTCCTCTCTCTGTGAAGGGGAGATTTCATGTTGCCCCTTGCCCCTAATGGTTAGGGTATAGGGTTGGGGCCGCCAGTGGGGGTCTGGCTAACACAAAGTCTGAGACCTGCCAGTAGCTGTGCCTCCCTTTCTCATCGTCTCCCACCCTTCATCGAGTAGCAGCAGAGGCTATGGCCAACACTCTCCCACACACCACACACAACCCACTCGCGCTCACACTCACACCCGTGTTGGTCATAGRYCCCRCTAATACCGATCAGGGGTATCCAGAGGACTATCACAGTCCGTTGGCACTAAGTGCGTCTCCACGTCGTGTGTTTTGTTTTTGTTTCCTTTCATTTCGTTTCGTCTCTGCTTAGGAGGCAGGTCTTTACGCATCACAATGAGGAAGTGGGTACTGCATTCTTATTTTGCTCATCGTTACCTGCTTCCCTCATGTAAAGACCTGCGAAAATTCCACCGAATGCCTTTTTTTTTGGTTTGCCCCCGCCTTCGTGTTCAAATAAAACTCCCTGATTCACGCAGGCAGAGCTGCGCTGGTCCGTCTTGTCATACTCTATGCCTGAGTCTTCCCAGCCTCACACCCCCACCGCTAGGTTACAGGACAACACAACTCACCCCAGCTCCGGCCGACATCCTCCAAGCATCAACCCTTGATTATTCCGTGAGATGCCCACCCCTAAGCATCCCCAGATCTCTCTACCAGGCCTCATGCTCCTGCTTCGCAGGTTACAGGTCAACACCCCAACACTGATCAGCGTCGTTCTGGCATCGAAAAAACGCAGATCCGCAATTATGACAGCAAAAGACACACCTAAGAAGATTTGCTAACAGTCTCCAATGAGAGAAGCCTTATCAGGAAACACTGATTGGAACATGGAAAATCACGTCAAAGTTTGAAAGTTTAAAACAAAATCATCAAAGTAACCAAGGTCATTCGATATGACAAATTAGAAAATTGAATCTGACAATTTAGAAAATTGAATCATGACAAATTAGAAAATCGATCTACGGCGAAATTGAGAAAACCTATATGAAATATTATTAGCATTTACGAATAGGATGTCCGAATAGGATTTTCGATCGTTTTTTTTAAGATCAACGTCAGATGTCCAAAAGGACTTACGACTCTGATTTCCAGAACCCCAAGTTTCAAAAAATCGCTCAGAGATTAAATCAGGAAATACTAGGCAGAAAAACAATTCAACAATCAATTGTGTATGAGAGAACCATAACGATTTTAAAACCAGATCGCAAAATCAACAAGAAAAATTACGAACTAGTGATTAAGATCAACTAAGAACTCGTAATTGCCATCCAAGAAATTTTCTAAGAAATTCCCATATCAGGAAAAAGAAAATAAGACATAAAACCCAAGCACAACAAAAATAGGTCACGCCTCAAGAGTTACTGGAGATTCCATCGCTGCGTGAAGTCGCCTTGAAACACCTGAAGTCTCAGTCCGTGCAATCCATCACGTAGCGCTCCACTCTCGCAGTCCTTTGATCCAGCTGGCCCGCCGCTTTAGAGTCCAAACTCAGCCCCTGCCTCTTCCTGCGGGAGGGACACGTTCGTCTCCCCATAACCCGTGCTAATATAGCCCATCGACAAGCTGCACTGACCAAAAGAGATTTGGTAGGACACAATCACCTCCTTATCCCTGCCCAGATGCAATTGCGTTGTGAGTAACCACATCAAGCCTGTTGACGCGACCTCACAGAGAGTTCAGTCCCTGCCCAACGATCTGGAGGCCACTAAATCAAGAAAAAGGAGAGACGGAGTAAAAAGGGCAAGTATAGGAAATCCCCCACCATCGAGCCCCCGCTCGCCCCACCCACCTTCTCCTCGGCACAATCCCCATTCCACTCCACTGCAACCAACAACCTGCCATCGCACGTCCCCCTCCTACCTTGCCTCCACAAAATCTCCAACGCACGCCATTGTCATTTTACGCCCATCATACTACTTCGCGCAGCTCTGTTCACGTTTCGCTCCGCGCTCGCCTCAACACGCCGTGCTGCGTCGTGCTCAGTACCAGACGGGGCGCAGCGCTCCCGGCCGCGCTGCGCCCAAACTGAAATCATCGTGGTCGCTATAACATAAAGATCCAATGATGCAGGGTTTTTGCCCTCGCCCTTTTTGTTTTTGGTTCATCACCGCCGTATCTGAAATGGGACAGGCGGTCCCCCTCTTTAGCTTGATGTGCACCGGCCCAGAGAAAAGGACTCGCAGACCACCTTCGACAAAAGAAGGTGAACATGTGCAGCCAATGGGGAAGCACCGAGTTCAACGCCTGCCTCAATAAGCCAATGTGAAAATGAAGAGAATGGCACACTGGATCTTAGCCAAAAGGCCGAGAAAGGTATATGCCGGTGTTTGTCGCTTCTGAAGTTCCCTTACTTTCGTGGTTCTTGCCTATTCAATTGATGGTCTTTCACTTTTTATGATAACTTTTTCCAAGAGGGGTTTCCGGCTTATATGCTTTCAGCGGTTCTCCCGGGCACCATCACCCTCTCGAGTGGGTTGAGGCTGGCTTTGGAAAAAAAAAAAAAAAAAAAAAAAGAAAGAAAAAAAAAACGCTCAATAAATGGGCCTATGTAGGGCTCAATATGTGCCAACTAACTGTTTTTTTTTAGGTTGGCTGGCTCCTTGGTTGCAGCAGAGTGCGCAAAAGTTCCCAGCCGTCCATCTTTCACGAGCGGACACCGTCCAGCCGTCGAAGCGGATCGCAGCATCGGTAATTTCAAGAACGTCTTCTGGACAGATCAGACGAGAGCCGCTCACAAGGGAGATCACTAATCAACCCTTCATCCAACATTGTCCATCGCAATGCGGCCCGAATCACCCCACCTCCTCCTCTCTGACTCAGGCAATCACAGGATCAGTTGCAGTCAAGTGCACATCAGGAGGACGCACAACACCCATGCCAGGGTCGGGCATGGAGGTCCCACGCGCAGCAGGCATACGAGCAGCCGCGGCGTTCCATCCCAGTGCCTGTGGGGATGACTTTGGCAGACTGCAACGTGCACCCCACAGTCAATCGCATCGACGGCAAAAGAGCTTGCCGTCGGAGAAACAACAAGCTGAAAAGACAGTTACTGAAGAACGACGGTATGTGTGCGAACTCACACACTCACTCACTCACTCATCCACTCGTCAAATTCCTTCCTATTCAGGACCTACACCACGTAGGACTCATGTTTTTTACAATGCCGGGATTTAGGGCTTGGAATAGATGGAATTCCCGCCAGGATTGATGGAATGGAATGGATGGAATTCCCGCCAGGATTGTTGGATTGGAATGGATGGAATGCCCACCAGGATTGCTGGATTGGAGTGGATGGATCCAAGCTTTGGGGGATAGAGAATTTTAGTGTTCTTGTGTAGATTACACAGTTGTCTTTCTTAGCTGAAGCCGGGTAATGGCCCCTGTATCTCAAGGATTTTTCCATAAATTTCTCAATTTCTCAATATGATTGAATGGGACGCTGGGCCAGGTTTCCAGCACGTAATGCTCCCCACGAATAGATTGGAGTATGTTCCCACAAAAAAAAAAAAAAAAAAGAATTCCCACCAGGATTGATGGATTGGAATTGATGGAATTGGTTTGGTTCATGTTGTATACTTCGCATCGGGTTTTAATTGTGGATTAAATGTGTAAGGGATCTTCACTCGTCAACAAGAACATCAACACGAGGACAAAGAGGAGGAGGAAGAGAGGGAGGAGGAGGAGAGGAGAGGAGGAGAGGGAGAGGAGAGGAGGAGAGGGAAAGGAGGAGGAGAGGAGGAGGAGGAAGAGGAGGAGAGGAGGAGCAGGAGGAGGAGAGAGGAGGCAGAGGAAGAAGAAGGGAGAGGCGGAGGAAGAAGAAGGAAGAGGCGAAGAAGAAAAAGAAGAAGAAGACGAAGACGAAGACGAAGACGAAAACGAAGTCGACGACGACAACGAAGAAGAAGAAGAAGAAGAAGAAGAAGAAGAAGAAGAAGAAGAAGAAGAAGAAGAAGAAGATCTTCCTTCATGAACAATGTAACAACATGAGGAGGAGAGAGAAGAAGAAGAAGAAGAAGAAGAAGAAGAAGAAGAAGAAGGAGAAGAAGGAGAAGAACAAGAAGGAGATTTTCCTTCATGAGCAACAAGAATTAACAACATGAGGGGGAGGAGGAGGAGGAAGAGGAGGAGGGGGAGAAGAAAAGGACAACGACGAAGAAGAAAAATAAGATTTTCATTCATTGACAACAACGTCAACACAATTAGGAGGCGGAGGAGGCGGAGGAGGAGAAAAGAAGGAGAAGAATGATGATGATGATGACGACAAGAAAACAACAAAGTAGATGTATCATCGGTCAAGAAATGCGACAAGATATCATTTAGAGGTAGTAAGACGTTCATATAGCAGGAATTTGTGTGGAGAGGTGGGGGAATGTCCGCACCCTTTTTTTTTTCTTGAAACACCCGAGGGTATGCTTGGGGCGCTGATAAGAGCAGACACCCTAGCATTCCCGGGGGGCTCCATCTATTGGTGGGGAGCCACACCTGCTGGAAACCGGGTCCAGCGTCCCTGAACATTGTCCTTTTCCAGTAACTGCCTGCCAGCATTGATTACCCTGAAGCCAGGGGATTAACTGAGCAGGTAAATAGAAGAGCATGAGAGGGGTTTTAACCATACTTGCGGCGCATCGACGTGCGCTGCACTGCGCACAGCGCACGACGCGCGCACACGGGGTGCGGCACACCCTGAAAATAAGTTGGGGAGGGGTGTTTTAGACCCGAGTGGGATGTCGCGTCATAAACCACAAAAAAATATTAACAAAAATTTGAGCCCGCGCGGGGCCTCCGAAAAAAAAAAGGGGGGGAAGTTCGTTTTTTTGTTTGTGTGTGTGTGTGTGTGTGTGTGTGTGTGTG